TTGCTCCAAACTTGTCAACCGTCCCATCAGTGAGTCTTTTGATGGTAAACAAACACCCACCTAGAGCCTAGAACTCTGATGCTTCCACATGGGTTGACTGCCTCCCAAAAATTCAGGCTGCAAAACCTGTCAACATTGTATTCTGCAGCTTTTTTTCCATTCAGGGCCTTCTGGGCTTTTGAGTGCAAATATTATATTTTTGGAATGTCAAACTCCACACCCATGGGTAGGTTGGCAATAGATTTGCCTTCCTCATCAGCCATCTTCTCTGTTGGTTCTTCTCCTACTATTAGAACTAGCTTGATTTGTCTGACACTAAAGTTGATGTTGGATCTCTTGGTTTCTTTCTTTACTTCTAAAGGTTGAAAATTGGGAATAACTGCCAAGATTGAGTGGATCAACCTTTTTTGCTCTATTGGCAAGAATAACCACCTGGATCTGGCAATAGGTAATTCTAGCAGTTTGGATTCAATTTGAGTCTGCTGTTCTTTAGGTACATGGACAATGGTCTTTTCTCTGAAAGGATCTGGGGTCAACGGTGAAGGAACAACACAAAAAAGGTTTTTGAGGGGGGGGGGTATCAATTCTCGATTTTGGGATTCTGTTGTGGATGTAAGACTTTGTAAGATATGCATAGCTTCAGTATATCTTGGGCATTTCTGAAACATGTAGCATGGTCCAAGCCATGTCTCCTAGCATCCTGCTGACTTGTTCAGCCACTTTTCTCCAACAAGATATAGGGTCAATGGTGAAGGAACAACAACAAAAAGGTTTTCAAGGGGTGAGGTATCAATTCTGAAGTTTGGGATTCTGCTGTGGATGTAAGCCGCTGTAAGACATGTATAGCTGCAGTATATCTTAGGCATTTCTGCACCATGTAACATGGTCTGAGCTATGTCTCCTAGCGTCCTGTTGACTTGTTCAGCCTCACCATAATTTTGCCAAAAAATCCTTCAACTCATTGACATATTTGCCAGTGTTGTTGCATTGTAGGCAAGACGGAGTTTTACCACAGAGATTCTTCAGACACTTTACCCAAGTCATGATCTTATTTGTCACTTCTGTTCTTGATGGGCAACACATCACAGTCTTTGTAAGTACTTGTTTCAGTCTCTCATAGTCAGAAGGTATTGGCACCCATTGATGTCTGTCTCAAAGGGTCCAGCAATATCTGTTATACATAAGTCAAGGGGGTTGTCTCTTGGGATCTCAGTGATGGCACTGGGGTTCTTCTGATATAGACTTTTTGATTTTGCACACTGCTTGAAGAAGAAAAATTTGGAGGAGATTTTTACATTTGGGAGGAGATTTGTAAGGAATTTTCTCACTATCAGTTCTGATACATGTCCAAGTTGTACATTCCAGAGGTAGTGATCATGTGAGGCAACTTGTGGAATTTTATTTATAATTACATCAGACTTTAGTTGTAGAGTCCAACAAAAGTCATGGGGGGAGTAATAAACACACTCCCCCCCCCACCTTTGCGCACACACTCTCACACTCCCCTCAGAGAGGGGAGTGTGGGACCACATGTCAACCAGCAACCTAAACCCATATTCATTTAGGTTGCGCCTTATCCCATAGGACCCAGGCATGGGTCTTATGGGAGACAACTGTCCAGGCTTCAAATCTTGAACGGAAATCCATTCAAGGTTTGAAGTCTGAAGGCCATTGTCCAAGGTTTGAACCTTGGCCAATGGCCTTGAATATCCCTGTAGGACCCAGGCCTGGGTTCTACAGGGATAACTCTTCCCTTGGGGGCAGGGTTAATGGACCCTGCCACCCGGGGCAAAGGCTACATCCTTCTACCTGCCCCTCACCCTCCTCCCAACAAATCCTAGCCTCAACCACCACCTCACTCACCAACCAACAAAAAACTGACCAACCAAGTCCCAAAAATTGACCTGTGAACACCCCAACCCCACTCAACCCTTGAACCTGTAAATCCCAGGGTCAGTCATCATACTTTGACTGAGTGAACCCAAGACCAGTGAGAGCTTTATGAAGTTTGATGTTCCATTGTCTTGGAGATTGTTTCAATCCATATAGCAAGCAGTCTAGCTGGCACACCCAATCAGGATGTTGTCAATCTTTGAACCCCAGTGGTTGTTCCATGTAGACAGTGTGGTCCAGATGGGATTTGAGAAAAGCTGTCTTGAAGTCAATTTGTTGTCCTTTCCAGTTCCAGGAAGCAAGTAATCTCAAGATAAGACGTAGTGTTTCAAGATGGAGGGTGGGGGAGAAGACTTCTTGATAGTCAAGACCCTTAACTTGTGAGTAGCCCATCACTACAAGGTGAGCCTTGAGTTTCTGAATGGAGTGGTCCTGACAACGTTTGACTTTGAAAACCCATTATCATTTGATGATTTTCTGTTTCTGAGGCCAAGGTACAAGATGCCACATGTGCATTTCCAACAGTGAAGGAAGCTTGTATTTGGCCGCTTTGAGGCACCGTGCCTTGCTGGGTGACTGGATCCACGTTTTTGGAGTGTCTACATCCTCCGCTGTCTTGGAATTCTTCAAACAGTTCCCATAGCGGTCAGGTGGTCTCCTGTCTTGGCCAGACTTTTGTTTTGTTGGAGAGGGGGTTGACTGGACTGGCTTCAATGTTCCTGGTGCAGGAGGCGGTTGAGAGGGCGCGGGGGCTGGAAGTGGAGGAAGCTTGATAGAAACCAGAGGAGCAATGTTAGAGATGGGCAAAGAAGGACAAGATACTGTTTCTTCAGGAGATGACGGAAGGTCAGAGTCGGAGTTGA